ATACTTCGACAAAATTTATTATCATCGTCATTCCGCACCACCGAATTTCTACATCTGGTGTGTCAGCCACTATCACTGCTGACCTCGAGAACCAAATTCAATTCAACCCGATTCGTGAACGTACCAGACTGTTCATACAACACAACAAATCATATCGTCGTCCTTCCGAAGACCTTCTCTCACATTTTCTTCGCACCTAAAGACAGCATGAATGCCTTACCCACATTCAGCCTCTTGGAGTGACGAGCCCTCATTTGCGCTTTCAGAAATCCAATTTTCTGTCAGCAAAGAGCTGCTATGCGTGTCAGCCGGACACGTCGACAGTGCACCAATCCTAATGTCCCGGCAATCTGAAGATGCTCCTACATAGACGACACCATATAGAATGGTTGACAGCAACAACTGAAAGAACATATGACTCAACTGCCCAAACTCCTGCTTTTCCAGCATTCAAATCTGTGTTTGTGGGCCGGGACCACAAATGTAAAAGCCTCAGTTTTTATGCCCACTTAAACAGCAGCCTGCAAAATGCAAGTATATAGCGTTGTTAATAATTTTTCCACACACTCTGATATTCTGGCATCCCAGATGATAGAGCATACTCGCATACTTCGACAAAATTNTGGCAAACGCCGTAAAGGACTTTTCGCATTTCCTACTTCCGTTTTCTAATTCATTGAATGACTGGACATGTCTGCAATCTTGTTTCAATGTACACGACAGCTACAGCAACAGAGACGACGCGCGTGTTCCCATTTGCGTACGTCTTTCCGTTGGGTTTGGCACAGCGTGGGAGTGAGTAGAACACGTATGTATTAGCGGTATGTACGTCCCGCAACGCTCGCTTGGAAACCTGGTCTTTAACTTTTTCCCTTGCAGATTTTTTTCCTTTTTAGCGTTTCCCCTTTACTTTTGCGCTATATTAAAATAGGACCTGGGCTTTTCCGTGTATAAATCACAGTCTCTGCCTGGTTACGCGAATGCACTAAAGAACTGAATTAAAGAAAAATCTAGTGCATTTATCTCGGTGCTTCCAGGAAGACAATAATCCGCCTGCGAGTTATTTTCCTGCAATTATTTGTATCTTTAATGTGCGTTTTCTAATTATCCCGTGGGAATATTACGATATTATTTAGATATACACTCTGCCAGCACATAGCCCCTTCATAGGCGGGGCTGGAAGGTGCTGGATGGGGCCAGAGCCCCTTCTGGATTGAAGCATTTTGAAGCGTATTTGCATCGAAACATATGTTTCAAAAGCACCACTCATTGTACCTTCCTTGGCATTAAAAGGAGCTAATTTATCAAAATTGGCTTATAAATCATGGAGAAAGCATCCGTTAACGCCCACTGAATGTAGCTGCAGATGAGCACAATATACTGAGGTTTTTTTTAAGTCCTTCATTGCGTAAACTCTCATTTGTCCACCGGATTTGAATCTCTGTGTGTGTGTTATTTATTCGCATATTTGACAAGCGATTGCAGATAATTTCGTGAGTCAGCCAATGCTGTTTACATGCTCTTGATAGCTGTCTTAGTTCATTTATGTATATTATGCTAATTGTTTAGGTATTTAATCACCAGCCAGTTCAAGTAGTCGAGTTGTATGTCTATGTATGTATATTTAGCCTTGGTGTTCGTAGTCCACTTATACAAATTGTTTATCGTTTCTTACTGAATATCCAAGGCAATTATGAAGCATTATTACTCTGGCTATCACTGAAGCACCAGCCGTCGAAGCAGGGACTTTTGGAACGCACAACTGAATGACATAACATATGTTGAAGTCCATGTGTATACTGGCATTGACATTTATTATGATTGTACATATTTTCCTATTCCTTTTTCGTTTATACAATAAATAACGCATTCACATGAATTTGCGTCGCGTGTATTTGATATTGGCTGCCGATTAGTGGGCACGTGTACGGCGGGGTCACTGTGAGTACTATGTAATACCGTAGTACTCTACGTACGGAGGGTGGCTTCCGACGTGTAACCTGTGGGAACAGTGAGGCACTGCGCCTCAGGGGACTCGGTATACAGGACGATATCATAAAGTGGTGCCAAAAGTGGGCGGGGGTGTGGCGTCCCCTGCGCATTTTTTTCGCTGGCGGGGCTAGGCGGGGCTATCGCGTTGCATGCCCCGCCACAGCCCCCTCCACAGCCCCGCCTAGCCCCCTCATGGCCCCCTCTAGCCCCGCCATTATTAAGGGGGCCAGGCGGGGCTAGGCGGGGCTGGTGCTGGCAGGGCAATCTCGCTATTTGTGTGGGTATTTTGACAAGATTTCGGAGGTGAATTTCCTTATTTGCTTTCAGATTGTTCCCTATTTCTGCCTTAAAAATAGGTTTAATATGCATGAGACGTAAAATAGCCGCTAAAATACCAGGAATACAAAACATTCGTTGCGGTATGCACGTACCGCGAAGTCGTTGTTTAGCCAATCGCACAAAGCACACTTCCGTCGAAGTCGTCGTCAAACCGACTTTTTAAGGACGATAGACTCAGCGTGCGAAAGGCCTGCAAAGCATGCTCTTTGAAAATTTCTGTCGTGTCAATGTTTTTGGGCTGCACGGAGTCGTGGTTGCGGTCCATCATGAAGGACGTTACCGTGATTCACTCGAGTGAAGAAAGGATCCTTCCTTCTGTGTACGACATTAAAAAAACGCGTCGCATCCAACACGGCTAGAAACATACCTATGAAATGCAGTCAGTTATTGTCATACTTCGTCGTTGGAGCCATTATGCACGCATACTTCCTGCTGACATACAGAAACTTCTCGGCATGAATAGATCCCAAGGGGTGTTTGTGGGAACTTCTCGCTTTGTAGTGATAACCGATCGCCAAGAGATATACCCATACTAGTCTTTCTTACTTGACTAAACTCCTTAATTGCGTCTTCCGAATGTCTCAGCGATTAGAAAAACCGACCGAGCAAAGTGTCGCGTAACTTGAAACAGCGGCAGAAACAGACGCCATCGTAGTACTCGCGCAAATGTTCCAAAGCTGCGCTGCACCATCTTCAATATTCCTCTCTCAACCAATCTGTCTTCATTGTTCTGAAACCTATCCGCATGCGGCGTTTTTGAATCACTCGCGATGAACACAGCACATTTCCGCGGCTAACGCTCAAAATCTACCATTATCTGCTTCCTCACGCGCGCAAAACTCTCGTTTCCAAAACCGACTGATTCGGAAAATGACGTCACTTTCGGTGAGTCTGCAAACCCTCCTTACTGTCTTAATACAGAAATAGGAGCACGAATTATTTCGTTTTCTTCAGGTTATTATTCAGTTTAGAACCGTAACAACGTCCTTACAGTGACAACGCTCTCGTAGTTTTACGACCCGCTATGATATCCTTTACAGGTCTGATGTACCGTTGATCTTTTGGACGTCGTTTGCGTCCACGTTCAGGTCAGGTTAACAGCTTTGACATCTTTCAACCTCATTGATCCCTCTGTCCGTACCTGTCCATGTGCTAACATGCATTAGTAAGCAACACCTCCAAAGCTGTTTGCCTGCGGGTGTTCTGGCAACACTTGTAGCTGGTCGGCAAGAATCATCCTGCACAACCCACTGAGTTGCCGTCTTCATTACTAGACCATGTTTTAATACGTGGACGAGATTGGAACTTCAGTTTCTGACTACGATTTGTTCGGTGGTCAGCGCTGAATAAAAGAATTGAGACTAACGCAAAATTTGACTGGTCATGCTATCTCAGGGAGATGTGCAAGGTTAT